AGCCTGACTCCTCACCCCCCAATGGGCAGACAAGTCCGTTTCTTGCTGAGCCATGACCGGAGACAACTGCCCAAACTGGTTTCAGCCTCGTGTTCTGATTCGAAGGAGTTGTCTTCTGACCCCTGTTTTGTGTGCAGATCCCGACCTCTACCCCCTGTGGCCAACGCCCGCCCGCAGCGCGGTAGCGGAAAAAGCACCCCGCAAGTCTTCGCCTGCAGCACCACAGCCCGGCGCTGTCGGCTCGCCCTTGGTATCGCCATGCCTAACATCTTCAGCTCTTGCTGCCACCCCTGCTGCGAAGGCGTTGGTTGCCCGAACGCCAGTAGGATGCCAGGTGCACACAGACCGCAGTGACTGTTGGGAAATTCGTCGTGGCTGACTTTTCAATGTTGATATGGTGCGGCGCTGCCAACCCTCTTTACTCAGTTGTTGAGAGTGTCCTATCTTCAAGGTAAGACACGTTTGAAGTTGGCAAACCCCGCCCTTTGAGCAACTCCAGTGATCCCACGCAACCAACAACGCTGGCTGGTTTCAATGAGGTAGGCTCGACGAGGTATGCGTCGGTGGAAGGCGGCCGTAGGCCCCGGGCACTGCTTTCTACGTGATTGCGGTGTTGTAATCAACGTGTGTTGGGTTTCCTTGGAGTCCCGGTTTGGCATTCTGATATTTGCCTTATGAATGCCCCTTTTGTATGATCTGGAACGTCTCGTGTTTGTTGCTTTCGAGGCGACTTGATGACGGCATGCATATATCACCTTTGTTGTGCTCGTTGTTCGAACACACAGTACCCGGGGTGCGAAATAAAAGCAAAATACGGCCCCAAAGATGAGCCACCTAGCGCATGCCAGGCGCACAAGAGGGCCGGCCAGTACACCACCAACCGACATGGAGACCTGTATAAAGCTACCCGTGATGGTAACGGTGAGATGCGGCATTTACACTATTTGGTGTTGGTGTGTCCGTTCATCAATGCGAAAGCTTTCTAGTCGAGCATGGACACATCATACAAAGGCTCCGTCGGTCACACCGGTGCAGCTTAGTCCTGGCCTTGGTTGTTTCTTGCGCCGACCCTTCCAGAATTGTTCTGCTCTGCACTGCTGTAGATCGTCATGGTCGCACCTACCGCAATACGCTCACATCCCAATCTAAGACATATCCGCGACCCGCCCCGCGTCACGCCAAAGAGGCCGGGCATGTTTTGATGATTTTCGCGCATCCTAGAACGTGTACCCTTCTCTGAACGTTTCGGTGGTTTGTTCGTCACGATCCAGCCTTCAGAACACCTGCGGTGGGGACTACGGCCGGCTCCCCCCAACCAAGCACAGGCAACACAGGCAAGTATCGGAGTGCGTGCCTTGTACATCAAGGTCGGCGGTTGCGCATCGCTTCCTTTTTCAGATGCACACACAATTTCCAGATGCCTACATCTTAACCTGTTCATACCATGTGTGTGAACTTTTGCTCTAATGCTTCGGTCCACGCCCTGCCTTTCGTTCTTTTCCAGGGCAACGGTCTAGCTGACATGTGATACGATTGTTGTCTTTGGGAGGGAACGACACATCTGAGGGTTTGACATGTGTGTTGTGCTGTGAACCCTCGCACTACGACCGTCTCACCCCTTCCAGGCCCAACAATAGCACTCAGTTGACCCAGAACGACCACACGACTGACTTACTTGTTCACGTTTGTTCGCAACTTGCTGTCCGTCGTACGTGCGTCGGCAGCGTCTGACCAGTCCGGTCTGCCATCGAAAGCTTATGGCGTCAACCCGTCTTCCTCACCTCTCCCGAAGACGCCCGAGATGCCTTCCAATACGGTGCCGGGGCTGAAACGTGAGAGGAAAAATCGAGTAGTGGGAGGAAGGGGAAATTTCCAGACGTGTTTGTGTTGTCCCCCCAGATATATTCGCCCGACATGTTCGACGGTTGTGGATGCCTCTCCCAGCCCCGTAGATCGTTGTTTTTGTGGTTTTGTACTGTTCCGAAGTGCATTGGGCCCCCAACGCCATTCACTTGTTTCTGGCCCGCATGGGTTCAGTACGAAACATGGATAGCTATGTTTAGCCGTCTTACTGCCTCCAAGCCCAACAACTCAGTTGACCCAGAACAACCGCACGGCTGACCTACTTCTTTGCGGTTGTGCGCGAATAACCGCCCATCGTCCGTTCTTTAGCAGCGTCTGGCAAATCCGGGCTGCCGTCGAAAGCTTGTAGCGTCAGCTCCTTTTCCTCCCCCCCCTCGAAGGCAACCCCTCGGTGTTTGCCATCGGGATTGGGTTTCGTCGCTTGGCAACGACATTGTAAAACAAGCCGATTCACTTCGTGAACTCGGCAACCAGGATACCGTTTTTTTTCCTCTGTTTTTTTTTTGGCGGTAACCATTATGGTGGTCGAGGAAATCATGGATCATGTTGTGCGGGGTCGAGAACCCTCGTTCCGCGCAAGGGGAATGATCGCACCACGTTGTGTTAAAATGGTCTAGCACTTTCGAGGCAGTTACACAGTGCTTACAACTGTCTGGAAGTGAAGCACCAGAAAATAAATTCAGTCATACTCAGCTGTCATCCGTATGCAAGGAAGTAAGCACAATATGCCGAACACCCTTAGCAGGATGCAGCGCACCCTTCATGCGACTCGCCGAATACCTCACGGCGCTTCGCGCTTGGTGATGTCAGAGCCTGGTCCGGTGAGAACTCGGCGTGCTCCGTCTCGGCTTTGTAGGGATGCGAGGTCAATGGTCTAACGACTACGGCATGTACGACTACTTCCTCTGTCACATAAGTAAAGTCCGTTATGATTACACGGCCATTTAGCCGTGTCCGATGTCTTAGGCGATAATTTTTTTGCAATCTTGAGCGTTTTTCGGGTTGAAACCCATATTTCTTTTTTTTTCTTGCGCACTACCCTGNGACACTTGCCTCAGCGTGAATGACCGATTCTCCTTGTTGACCTTGCGCAACGCCGCGGCCTTCGTCGGAGTGAGGAGCGATGGCCGCCCACTCCGACGTTTGTTTGAAAGGTCGAGCTCTCCGGTTTCATCGATCTGCGCTTTGCATTCCGCCCAATGTTTTCTGGGGTAATCACTACCAACGCCGTACCGCTCGGCGAGGGGGCCTAGAAAGCCCTTGGGTACCCTTTCTTTGCCAGGCGGAATCGCCAACGCTATCTCCACCGCCATGGCGTACCGACGACCCAACGATACTTCCGCACCCCGCTTACGACGTGGGGGTGTCTGGGCGTCGTCCCCCATGATAGCTAAGACGTTGTGGTGGTAGTAGGTGCTCACACAGCATAAAGCTGCAAATATTCTTTTCATATTTTCTCAAAATGTTTTCAAAATATTCCCAAAATATTCGCAAAATAGTCCCGTATTTGACACACTAATTCTCAGTAATTGAGTCGGATTTTTTTTTTTTTAAGTTATGTGCGTAACAAGCGCTTTCCAACAAACCTAACATGAGCTTCAGGAACACCTTGGCTGGTAAGGTATGTAAATTCCCCCATAACGGACTTTACTTATGTGACAGAGGAAGTATGAGCATACCGCCCCCCCCCCCTCGAAGGCAGCCAAAACACCTCCCAATTCGGTGGCGGTGCTGAAACGTGAGATGACGGAGAGGGTTGTGGAAGGGAAGGGGGCAAGTGTAGATAAATTGTTTCTATCCCTCAGATCTCTCGGCTCGGCGTATGGGACATTTGTCGATGCCTCCCACAGCCGCGTACGTAGACGCTTGATAACGCTGCTTGCTGTGCTGAATTGCATAGGGCTCCCATTTTCGTCCACCCGTTTCGGGCTTCTACGGATTCAGTGCGAACCTTAGCATTGCGATACTCAGCCACCATTTCCTTCAGGCCCAACAACAGCACTCAGTTGGCCCAGGACAGCTACAAGACTGACCTGCTTCCTTACGTTTGTGCGCGTCTGACCAATCCATCGTATGCATACGTGCGTCGGCAGCATCTGACCAATCCGGTTGGCCATCGAAAGATTGTGACGGCAATTCAACTTCCACGCCCTGCCCGGAGGCAGCTAAGACCCCTTCCAATGAGGTGGCGGTGCTGAAACGTGAGCTGACGGAGAGAGTTGTGGAAGAGAAGGAGGCATGTCCCATTGGCATTTGTGTTGTCCCCAAGACATGTTCGCCCGGCATATGCGACATTTTTCGATGCCTCCCATAGCCTCGTAGACGTGACAACGCTGCTGCCTGCTGTGCTGAGTTGCATAGGGCTCCCAATGCCATGAACTCTCTTCGTCTTGTTCGGATTCATTTAGTACGCCTGCAATCAAGTTTTTGCCGTTCTGTTCTTGTTCCTTTGTTTCACCGGCGGCTGGATCCATGACAACCAAGGTACCCAAACTCCACATCGGTTTACTCCAGATTACACAATTAGGCCACGCGTGTCAACCCTGCGTGCACAATTCCTGTTCCTAGGCACGAGCCGGCCAGGAATCTCCATGGGGCGCAAATATGGGAGGCAGTCATCGCAGAAACACGATTGCCTCTTTCCGGGGTGAGAAGAGTCCAAATCGAAACCGCGCATTCAACGATCGAAACTGCACAAGTACTGTTTAGCCGTGATACCACCGCATTGTTAAGGGTGAAGAGTCATTTATGGACAACTACGGACTTGCACTGCCGCCGCGGTCCTGTGAGTCATTTATGGACAACTATGGACTTGCACTGCCGCCGCGGTCCTGTACTCTCGTGTTTTTTCAGTATCTGGATCAAACAGTTGTGAGCTGGTGTATTCTTGCGTTCGGAGGTTCCTGCAAGCAATCATGCATTCAGATCGATATCCACCAAATCCATGTTACGCCGAAATGGCACCCTATGTTGCGCCTTGGTTTATGTTTTATGCCGGCGGGAATCCGGTCAGCTGGCATTTTTGAATGATGTGGAACAGCAGCCTCCGTGACGAGCGCTCTAGTCAATTTTTTGGCGAATACCAACTTTTTTTTTCGCCCCGCCCCGTCCCGTCAGATGTAAAGCTCGACCCACCCATGGTCTACCTGGTGTGGTACGCGCCGTGTATTGCGGCTCTCACAAGAAGGGTGTCATGGTGCATCTCTACAAAGATTCGCCGGACGTCTCAAACAACGTTAAGGCTGCTGGAAGCACTACTGCGGGAGTTATCCCAAGGTCGTTTTCGGTTCTTGTTCTGTTCATTGTCGCGACGGCGGTCTGACACACTAAGGCTTATTGGCATTCCTTCCCGTTTTGGTCACGTGACAGCAATATGCGCTCTTCGTCTTGCAAACCTCGCAACATCTACGCCGGAAGCATCCCCCGTCATTTCCTTGTTACTGTTTACCCTTCGGGTGGTACAGTTAGGAGGGAATATATATCCCATTTGTAATCCAAACGAGATGAAGAGGACGCCATATTTTCGTGATAGAATCGTCCGTAGCCCAGGCACTCGCGATCGACGATCAGCGTCTCAACAGCTTTGTACGCCCTTCCATTACTTCCTGTTACGCGCCATTGCAGCAAGAAGACCACCGACACGAAGCCACGCCAGACTCCCGCCGTGGCAGCAGGAGTACCCCAAGGAGAGACTCGAGCGCCTTCCAGCGTAGACAAGACCGGGGCTAACAATGCGTGGCAAAGCCGGAAGGCCAAGAACGATGGCTATTCCACCGACGGCGGAGACAAGAACAGCAGTAGCAAGAAGCGCCGTGGAAGCAATGGTGGCAAGGACAATCGAGGAGAGGCTTCCAAGGGCAATGCAACCAGAGAGGATCTACCGACAACAGTCTCTGTCGAGACTACTGTCTCATCCCTGCCGTCACCAACCTCAGCAGCCGCCACCAAACCCCTGTCGTCTCCGCCCAACCGGTCGGGCGACACGGCTGGCATGGCCCCGTCCGTCGAGTTCCATCTCTTAAGGCAGGCCAGGGAAGCAGCCAAGAAGGAAGCCGCGGCGAGCGGCGGAGGGAGGAGACCCCGAGCTCCATCCCGCCGGGCCCTGGAGGCATCGGGGCAGCTGAAGCACGACGGTGCTCAATGGATGACGCGGGAGAGAAAAGCGGAAGAAGCTAGGATCAAAGCTGAGCTAAGAGAGCAGAGAAGGCAGTACAAGGCGGCGGGCTTCAAGTCTGGAGTTGTGCTGGAGGCGTTCGTGGCGAAAGCGGCGGGGACCGGGACAGTGGGCGACGGCGTCGGTGGCGGCGTTGCAGGAAAAATTGGAGTGGGGTCGGCAACAACAAAGCACGGTCGTGATCCCGCCTGGCAGAAGGTGTCACCGGAAATGCTCGCGGCCTCTGCGGAACAGGAGCAGGCCACGGAGAAGGAGGAGTTACTTTCAGCATCGGCAGAAAAAAGGCCTTCAAAGCGACCCAGGCCACCCGCAGCGCCCAACAGCACACCTCGTTCCGAGTCCCCCAATATGGTAGAGGACTTGTCGGGCGTTCTGGACGGTCCTTCGTCCAACAGGGTGGCGTGACGTGGCGGTGTTGGTGCTGTCGCTGGTATCAGCGCTCGAGCCGCCAAGACCGGCACTGAGTGGAGTTCCAGAATTCTCGAGCCACGACACAATTAATGATGGCAGGGAGAAGAGGACCGAGATGAGAAAAAAAAATGGTACGGGATATAATAAACGCAACCTTCTGCGAAAGATATTATAGAAGCTGAAGGGACCTGAAGTTGCTACAGCTTCAGAGTCAAGAGTGATGGCAAAGTGAACGGTAGAGAAGAATTCCAGTGATACATGCAGCAGACATCCGATTCTGGAAACTTTTTTCGTGAGTTTGTTCGACGTTTTTCAGTTGTACCCGGTGAAGTGCTCAGATATGGTTGAGCGGTGATCGAGAGGTTTCACTGCCGGCTTCCTTGCGCAACATGAGGCTTTTAATTTTGTGCAATTGAAGTTCTCCCGCGAGTTGTGTATGTCGACTTCGTCTAGCGGGGTATGCGTTTGGCTGGAGATAGAACAGCGAGACATTTCAAGCGTTTGAAAAGGGGGACGTATGGTTCAATGACGGAAGGTCAGGATGTGGTTTTGACGACAGCCGCGTGGTGCGGTCCGCTGCTTCAACAACAACGGAATGACGACTATGTTTGATTGAAGGTGCCGACTTTAGCGTGCGGAAATGACTATTGTGGTCGTAGAACGCATGACCACATCCGAAGTCATCGTATTTCTACCTATTATTATAGTAATGCCGTGTTCTCAGTCGACACGCCTTTTCCGGGATACATGAACCATACCTTCGAAGTACGTGGAGTGACTAATCTTTCATGCGCAACGTGCGTGATGCAGGTTCTTCGACGCTGCCTGTCCACCACCTTCTCTCAGTACTTCTCGCAAACGTCAACGAAACGTAATGTCCTGAGTTGTTCTCATCGAGGACACAGAAGTTCAATACGTCATACAAATGTACCCGTTGCCCAGAAAGGGTTTTTACGTTCGAGCTTTTTTGTTTCGCGCTCTTTTCCCCCCATGAATTCCATAAGGGATCCCCCGAAACGATATTGGTAGTGCGGCACCGAGGATGTGTTGATGTATGGCGTGGTCGTTGGCTACAGCCACTGCGGCGGGCATCACTTATTTTTCCATGCAGGTTTTGTGCGATAACTTCCTCCGTAAAAAAAAAGTTGGGACGTGAAACAACGATATTCGTGATCGCCTCGTCGAGCTACGTCGATAGCTTCAGAGTTTTTGTAATTTTGAGAAAATGCAACATTTTTGGCCAAACGGAACCCCTTATCTTACCACGGTATCCCCTAATCACACCACAGAACCCCCCAACCATACCACGGAACCCCCTACTCATAGAACGAAACTCCCTAAAGATCAATAACCAGAAACGGATATACCCGGGTCCTTTTTCACCACTTTAGGGTACACTTAGAAATCAACACGCTTGCACCCCCAGGCTGTCAGCTGATTGGCCGAAAAACCATTGTACCCGTTTTTGAAGAAACCTCCATCGGGTACAACTTCCGCTGGAATTAGGACCCTCTGGTGTGACCGATAGTGGTTACTGGTGTACCCGGAAGAGGTCATTTTTGTACACAGAGATGGTCATATAATCCCGGCGCCCGACGCTCTAGCAGAAAACCCGCACAAAACAACGTGTAGTGCCGCACATACCGTGTGCCGCACATACAGAACCACAACCAAACCACCATTAACGCTCGCTCGTTCATCATTCATGGGCACCGCCTCCATAGGATACCGGCCCTTCTCATCAGAGGGTCGGACTCGCTTGACGCGCGAGTACTTCGGTGTGGTACTGATCAGCAAAAGCACAGAGAGAGAGAGAGGCACAGAGAGGGAGAAAAACGGGCACGACCTGCCTCGTGCATCATCATGCTTACGGGCACAGGACACACAGGACACAGACAGCGGTTCATTGGTTTCGCCGCGATCTACGGCGAATGCTGTCGGAGATTGGTGTCGTCTTGATGTCCAAGTGTACCCTGAAATGGTGATAATCTATCCGGGGATACCCGTTTCTGGTTACTTCTCCTCCCTAAACGTACCACGAACCTCCCTAGAAGCGTACCACGGAACCCCCTAATCATACCACGGAAACTCCCAGGCACGCTCTGCACCAATGTTATGACTGCTTTGTGTATACTCATATGCATATCAAACAACACGTATCCTATTGCATTTGTTCAAACATTACACACACAACTGCTCAGATCACATGCGCATACTGGCATATATTTGCTACATTCTAACACACACCGATGGGAGCGACTGCAACCCAGCACCAACGGTCAATAATCGGTTGACAGCTCGCTGCGCCAGTCCTCGTCACGAGTACTGTCATCCTCGACGACATCCATGGGAGAAACATCTAGTTCATGGTCAGAACCAACGAGTGGTGGTGCTGCTGGTGCTGCTGCTGGTGGTGCTGCCGCCTGAGCAAGTCGCGTGATGGTTCCACCCTCGTTCCGCTTCCGCTTTGTCGCTTTGTTCTTGGGTCGCCCCATGTGTGGGGCTTGTGTGTGGCCGCTCGTGTGCTGCTTGTGGAATGTACGTGTGGTGTGTGCGCGTGCGAACGTTTCGTCTCACAGCGGCATGCAAATTATGGATATCATATGAAAATTTAGTTTTGTGAAAAATACGAAAGAAAATCCATCCGTCGAGTGAAATCGTTTGCTGCACTTTATTTTCAAATCGTGAAGTTGGTTTTCGCAAACAATTGTGAACAAAATGCCCTGCCAGAATCGATTCACGGGGTACAACTTCGTCGTTTCTTTATATTATTTAAATCGGAAAATTAATCCATCTGGCAAATTCCGAGAGCTATCGAAATCCGGTCTCAGAATTTTTCTCTGAAAAGTAGACCCTCCAGCAGATTATGAACGAACGTTTCTGGTTATTTCGAAATGACAAGTCGAGGGATAATGTATAAAAAACAAGCGTTCTTTAGATTTCTACGCCTGGAGACAGGGCCTTTTACGGTGCTTTTGACGTCTGGAACAACCCCTCCTACCCCGAGAAAAGTGCACGTTAGCGCAGGGTTACGAAGTGGATCGAAAGCCCACCACGGACCATATGTGAAGAGATTGCACGCGTTGCTTATCCGCGCGCAAGAAGCAAATCGAAACCGCAAACATTCAATTGCACCCGCGCTAGTGAAAAGACGGAAACCATCGCTCACCAATTCACTTAAGTGACTTCTCAGACGACCATAAGTAGCAACCCCATCATGGCGGGAGCGCGAGGGTGTGCTCCGGACACCACAGGTCAATCCGATTCGCTGTCGTATCGTCCCCCTGGGGAATTGCCACACGTTCAGCGAGACTGAAGGGCAGCTACTCTCGGCGCAGTACTCCCCGCGGTTCAAACACATACGTACCAAAACATCAGATGCAAACTGCATGATCTACAGTGAAAGGACCCACCGAGCAATCGGCACGCAAGCCCATGATACAAACAGCTGAAGAGAGAACCAATAGGTGTGCAAGTAGTCCGCTTCGATTAGGACACGAAGCTCTGATGTTGAACGAAAGTGTACTTGAAGGAAACACACGCTCTAGCCAAAGGGACCATGCGTGTCCTTTCGAGCTGGAATGGTGTATAAACCAAAAGCTCAAACATTCATTCCAGCCAACCCCTCGCATCGATTGTTACTGAAAGACTTGCGGATAGCACGGATGGGTCGAGATACGACGGTGGGGCGAGATACGACGATCGACAAACGTGAAATACTCAAGGGATAAGCGACCCCCCATTCAGGCGGCGTAGTTAAACCCTTGCTCTCCTTTGCATTTCTGATGTTTTTCCCTTAACGGCGTCGAGAAAACGACGGTCAACATCACGTGTTAGCTAACTGGAGAGCCTCAAGAAACGGACCTCGCCTATCATCTTCCTCAAAACACACAGTCTTCCAACTAGGTAGGAGCGCAGACACACATGTGACGCGTGGATATACTCTGAAATGCTTACAGACGAGATACCTGAATTTGATGCAGAACCGGTGTACTGCGGGCAGCCCGTGAACGTCAACTTCTACCTCCACCCACATGTTGGAAAACTTGAGATGAGATGACGTGACTCCAAATTCACACCGTTAGCAGGACCACAGGGTGGGCAGGATCGCCAGCTTCCCACCCGATGACCTGAAGTTGACCACTGCAACCGCTACGTCAGCAACCAAGCCCAACTCGTGATGCTCACAAGCACTATCCTGCAAGACGGAGTTTCTCAATGGGGTTTCCGAGGTCCTCCCGGTTCGACAACGACCGCAGTCCGATCGGAAACGCGCAGCCTGGAGTCCAACTGGCGACATATTTATTGGAAGACCGATGCCGCTGACAGATCTTCGACGGAGCTGAAATCGTGATCTCCGCCCGATGCTCCCTCGAATACCGCAAACACGGCGTTTTTTGCGAGAGCTGCTCGCCCTTTCTTCATGCCACCGACCTAGCGTGTCAAGCACAACAGGTGGATGGCTCGTCGATGACCACAGAGCAGCGACAGATACGCGAACGACGATACCGCAACTGACATTGTACTCTGGAATACTACTCTAGCCACCCACCTTCCACGCGTGGCGCCACAATGATGACATTTACTCACCTCTTCCCCGACGAACAGGATGCGATGGAATCGAGCTGATCCTTTATCGTCGCCCACCCTGACTCCACAAAAGGCTACCATCGAATCAAGAAGAGTGGAACAGAGCTCCGGTACCCCGCCGGTCCCTGATCCGAGCAGATTTATCACTGAGTTCGATCCCTGGGCGCAAAAGTCGAGTGAAGGAGACTGATACGGGGTTTTCTTGACGGGGGCCGTGGTGACGGGATCCCTGTTTTTCAGGACCGCACCGCATGAATCGCGAGCCTCTGAGGGAGTGAGGAATACATCATTTTGGGTCTTCATATCTTATTAAAACTCCAGAGCGACCTAACATGTCGAGATGTCGGCGCCCACACCTAATGCGGTCGCGAAGTCTCTCAAAATCTTCAGCATCCAAGCCTGCTTGATTTGAAAGCACATTGATCTGGTTCTTATTGCACTGTAGACTGCATGTAGCATCACACGGCGGACTCTGCACTACTATCAGTCTACTGTTCTGCTGGCTCGCTGCTACTACAGCAGTGTAGACTAGTCTATGTACGAAGTATTCTGTACCATGTACAGTTCTTGACGAGATATCGAAGAGTGCTGGGCCCTTTTCGCCACGAACGCAAAGAAAAAGCTCTTCGCATCACCCCAAATGCCATGTCCACAATAGTAGTCGAGAAGCCTAGGACGTTCACAATAAACGTGGTTACAGCAGTGCTGCTGTGATGCGAGAAGACACCGGCGGTGTGTGATCGTGCCGCATGTACTACAGCAAGCAGTACTGCGGTACTACTGCTGCAAGTACGGTATCCATACAACAGGAGATAAAAAAGAGACATAACATAAATGAACACGTTCAGACCTCGGCGTATGTGAAGGCACACCAATTCGTCTGAGGTTCGCCGTCCGTTCGAATGCTCGCCCAAACTTCCGCCAAGCTTGGATCAGACACATCAATGCCCGACGAACGCTTCGTCGTGTGGAGGGCTTTGGCTTCCCCCACTTGCATCTTCAGGTGCGGGGCTTCAGAACAGCTTGGGCGGCGACAGCAAGCTTCTTTCGCAGTGCAAAATGCTTAAATCTACGGACCTCACACCCTCTGCTGACTCGCACCCACAGAGGCCACTGCGACAACTTCAACAAGAACACCGAGAGCACAAGAACACAGAGATGGACGACGGCGGGATGAGGGCCGACAGCTGAGATTTGTATATTCGAGTAGTGGATGCACCCGGGGGCTCCGCGAGGACGGGACTGTGAGTCTGACTGCCGTGCAGCAAGAGTGAGTGCCAGCGTGCCAGCGACGGCGAGCGACCGGAGAGGGAAGCCCTCGGCTTGTCGCCCGACAAGAGCTACTTTGAGTTGGTGAGCCCTCTCTTTGTCAATCCACAGCTGACGTTCGGTTTGGGTGGGTAGAAGGCTGTCTGCCGTTGCATGTCTGACGTCCGCGGTGAACTGGCACGTACGTCAATGTCATGTTGCTCACATACGACCCGCATGACAGAGACAGATTTTAAGCAGTAGTAGTTGAGACGTTGGAAAAATTGGAGTTGAGTCTAGATCAGATATGTGATATGCATCATTTATATGTTGTGCAGGAGTTGGTTAAGCGTTTGTGCGGTTCACTCCAACCTGTGGTCACACAGAAGGGTTCCTCTCCCGGAGGCACTCCTCCTGCGGGACGTCACCTTCGATTTTCAATCCGAGAACAGCAGTGCAGCACTCTCTTCCCTCTCTATGCACACGAACTATGTAGCGCTTTCCACCCTGGCCAAGAACGGAAACGAGAGAATTTCCAGAGGTTCGCTTTCGCCGTGATTCAAACCCCCCTGATCCTGGCCACTGGAAGGTTTTCGACGATACCAACTAGACCACCAGGGCGACCGGTAGATATTGACCTTCTCACACCAGGCGTCGTGAAACTCCGCATTTGAGCATTTGAGTTAATTTAAGCTCGAAACGGAGGTCGGCGGGACTTTTTGCTCAAGGACAAGAAGGATAATTTTGGGCTTAGTTTGGGGTTTTTTCAGGGCGCGACTTAGGGTCGACCTAAACAGGCCAAAAAAAAACCTGCGAAACCTGCGATCACAGGTTTTACCTGCGAATTTGGAGGCTTTTTTCCTGCGATCGCAGGTCGGGAGCAGGGCCGAAGAAATCACCTCTGCTCCTTTTCTGCGATCGCAGGTACAAACCTGCGATTTCTGCGATTCTCCTGAGAGCATAACGTTGGATCGGGCACAGCACACCAAGCCACCTGTATCACCCCCGTAGCTGCACTATAACCCCCAGAACTGATCGCCAGGGTAGGCTAGGGTCCATGGCCGACAATAGGAGGCGCCGGGAGCTTCGGGGAACCTCACAGACGGCTCCGCAAAGGCGGCGACTGCGGCGCTCCGACCGAAGAGACCATGATACGACTTCTACTGCTGCGATCAAGGCCGCCGTGATGGCCTTCCTTGTCCTGGTCGGTGTTGCAACTGCAGGAGCACAGGCTGCTGAGCTGTACANCCACCTGTATCACCCCCGTAGCTGCACTATAACCCCCAGAACTGATCGCCAGGGTAGGCTAGGGTCCATGGCCGACAATAGGAGGCGCCGGGAGCTTCGGGGAACCTCACAGACGGCTCCGCAAAGGCGGCGACTGCGGCGCTCCGACCGAAGAGACCATGATACGACTTCTACTGCTGCGATCAAGGCCGCCGTGATGGCCTTCCTTGTCCTGGTCGGTGTTGCAACTGCAGGAGCACAGGCTGCTGAGCTGTACATGCCGCAGCAGCGGGCACCTGTCTACAATCCCCGACGTCTTGTCTGGGAAGATCATGTGGAAGACTTGGAGAAGCAAGGACCCAACTGCTTCAAGCGATACTGCAGGATGAGCAAGACGAGCTTCGTCAGACTGGCCGACCGTCTTCGTCCCCTCATCGAGGCGAATGAACACTTTGGCAGTGAGTGCGGCAGGCTAGCATCTCTGTGGGACGCGTATATATGTCTGGCACCCCTTCTGGCGGGCAGCTACAGTGTGTTGTTGCGGTGATTTGTGTATTCCATCCTCTCCGTCTCTGTTGGCAGTGCCGTACAGCAGTAGCAGTCTTCACGCTGAATTTTTCAACCACACCTCGCATCACCAAATGGACTCATGTTGCGAAAGAGAGGACTTCTGAAACTACTCCATATTCAAGTAACATTCCACACCTGGTAGAAACAAGCTACGTCGTACAGCAGTATACTTGCAGCAGCTGGTTGTGTGCTAGGCACTTCTTCCCGTTGCTGTTCCAGTCGCGATACGTATACGCATTGTGCTGGTCGCCGGCGCTTACGACCCACCCATCCATCCATCTGCGTTGGTGAACTACGAACGATATACAAGTGCCGACTATAGTATTTGAAAAATACGCAAGTCATATGTACATCAGTGCAGTACGAGTGGGAAGTCTGTGTTTCCGACACACCCACCCCTTCTCTGTGGGTGAATGAAGTACCGTACAGCAGTACCGTACGGTGCAGCAGTGCTCTTCACGGCTGATTGGAAAATACACGAGCGTCGGGCGTATGCCCAGCATTGCAGTACAGCAGCAGTATGGCGGAAGGATGGGAATATATCATGAAATGAACTACTTCATGACGAGATATGAGCCGCGCAGGCTGCGTGCTGAACCGCCCCCCTTTGCCCTTTGCTTTTCACCCTTGTTCATTCAGAACTACGCTCCGCGAATGGCCCCATTTCCGTCGAGATCCGGCTGGCCATTGCACTCCGAATGCTAGCGGGAGCACGCTACATGGGCGTGGGAGTTTTGTTTGGCGTCGGTTTTCAGACGGTGTACTTCATCATGATCGTGGACGCGATAAACAGAACGGCGACTGTTGGCCCATTCAGGTTTCCGCGGACGGAGGCGGAATGCGAGCGTGAAGCGGCGAAATGGCAGGTGAGCTATTAGACAGGCCAACATATGTTTAAGTGTGAATCGATTTTGCGTGACTGCGAGCTTTGCGGATAGTGTTGCGTTCGCAGAAATTTCGCATGTCAACCCGGACGTCAGTATTGTGGAAGTCATTCTGCCTAGGACTGGACGTGTGAGCTCTGCCGTATTTTCTCCGCCTGAAGAATGTGAAACCGCGCTTGTCGTCGACGTTCTCATTGTACTCGACATGAGAGCCCACTCTTCCGCTGGCGCCGTAATTGTGCACCTGTACCAGGCTTTAAGCACGAACGGCGTGTTTTCCAACGTTGTTGCCGCTGCGGATGGTCTGCTTATCAAGACCATCGCACCTACAGCAGCCGACACCGCCAACGTCATGCAGTACTACTCCGGCAGCAAGGCGGGCCACGGCATCAACGTGCAGGCGACATGCAGTGCTGACTATCGATTTTGCCAGCTCTCCGCAATATCTCCCGGGGCAACGAACGACTGCGCCGCATGGAATCGCTCGAGCTTGTCTGCAGCAGTGAACCGCTTGCCTGGAAACTATGCTATCCTTGGGGATGCTGCATACCCTCTGAGCAACAAGCTTCTTACGCCGTATCCGGGAAAGTCGTTGTCACCGGGGGAGGACACCTTCAACTTCCATCTGAGCCAGCTTCGTGTGAAGATAGAACAGTCCTTCGGCATTTTCGTCTCGACGTGGGGCATTCTGTGGAAGCCGCTCAGAGTACAGTTTTCCGGAAGCACGAGCCTCATCACGGCGCTGTTCCGGCTCCACAATTTCCTGCAAGACGAAAAGGACGTCCTGCTTGACGCATCTGAAGAGGACGCCGAATCCGGACGCGGTCGCCCGGTGTTGACGAATGGCACCTTGCCGGCGGACTGGGGGAATGCGCCGCCAACCCCGAGTAGGAGCGGGGAATGTTCCGCGAGAGCAGAGATCCGGTTCGTGCTCGAGCAAGACAAACAATGGCGTCCATCGTGGAATGTAGCAAGAAATTCGTAGCTCGAACAGGGGGTCAGCTTCAGCTATGGAGGCAGGCGGGGAGAATGGAGAACACGCATTGGCTGTATGCGCCCCGGCGGGAGGTTAAGACAAGGGGAGTGTGAAAGGCAGGGGTGCATGCAGGAAGAGGGTGGGGGGGAGTGCATGCGCAGGGGCTTGGGCTGGGGTGCGTGGGGCAACTTTTACAATTAATTAGGATTTCAACAGATGGCTCTCCGGTTTAGGTGAGGTGCAGATGTCACCCGTAGGGTATTGTCTCGGGGGTTATCGTGAGGTGTCGGGCAATTTGTGAACCAACGAAGAAAGGGGAAGGGGGGGTGTTACATGTGAGTCTGGTGTTGAGTCATTTGTTTGCGTGGCTCACTCATAAATGTCGGGTGGGTGTGGTCTATATTTTGTCTTGTTGGGGTTGACCTTCGACTTGGAGGAGGTACTGCCGTACGTTGGTTTTCCTCGTCAGTAAATCATCGTTTCCGATTTCGATACTTTTTTTTTTCAGGGCGCCTAACGACAACAAGGAATATGATGTCCAGCAGAGATTCTTGCTTGTTCATCTATAGTACCCGCTCGTACAGCCACTGCTGTAGCCGATAAACCCGATACGAATTCAGCTGTCAACGGTATCAATCACTTTGGATTGGATTCATTCGTGCACGGCGGCAAATAAATAAACGTCGATAACATGTAAAACAGAATGTGCGCATTACATTTTTTCTCCAGTACCACCCACGTACTTTGGGTGTTGCGGCTGATGAGCACTTGTTGTGCGCGTAGTAACCGAATGTACACTCAACGAGCACCGATAATTGTCACAGAAACAAGGCGAGGGCGTGTTGCGTTCAAAAAAAGTACGTGAACCTTGTGTCCACCACCCTCACCCCCAGGTCAAAAAATGACGGGCATGGTTAAAACACGTTTTGTTGAAGGAAGAAAATGCGTGCGAGTGCAGCCAAAAACGAACAACATTTTCCCCTATCCCACCCCCCGGCCAAACCAAACATCTTGTTACAAAATATGCGTACGAGTGCAGCCGAAAACGAACATAATTTTCCCCTTTCCCGCCCCCCGGCCAAACCAAACATCGTGTTACAAAAAAAAATGCGGGCGAGTGCAGCCGAAAATGAACATCATTTTCCCCTATCCCGCCCCCCGGCCAAACCAAACATCGTGTTACAAAAAAATGTGGGCGAGTGCAGCCGAAAATGAACATCATTTTCCCCTTTTCCGCCCTCCGGCCAAACCAAACATCGTGTTACAAAAAAAGTGCGGGCGAGTGCAGCCGGAAATCAATATCATTTTTCCCCTACCCCGCCCCCCCCGGTGTTTGCCATCGGGGTTGGGTTTTCGTCGCTTGGCAACGACGTTGTAAAACAAGCCGTCCCCCCCCGGTGTTTGCCATCGGGGTTGGGTTTTCGTCGCTTGGCAACGACGTTGTAAAACAACCCGCCCCCCCCGGTGTTATCCATCGGGATTGGGTTTTCGTCGCTTGGCAACGACGTTGTAAAACAAGCCAATTCACTTCGTGAGCTCGGCAACCAGGTTACCGGTTTTTTTTTTACCTTCGTTTTTTTTTTTGGCGGTAACCATAATGGTGGTCGAGTAGATCATGTTGTGCGGGGTGGAGAACCCTCACTCCGCGCAAGGGGGATGATCGCACCACGTTGTGTTAAAATGGTCAAGCACCCTCGAGGCAGTTACACAGTGCTTACAACTGTCT